ACCCATTCTGCCAGTCTATTTCTTTTTTGTTTTTCAGTCTATTTCTTTTGATTGGTGAATTGAGACCATTAACATTGATGGTTACAACTGATATGTATTGACTTATCATTGTCATGACTTTTTCTTTTTGTTGGATTCTCCCCCTTTGCATTTAATTTCTTCTCATGCCTGATGGATTCATTCTGCTGGGCTTCCTGGGGTGGTGATCCTCACTGTCTTTTCCTAGGATATTGTCTAAAATTTTTTGGAGTGCTGGTTTGGTATTTATGAAGTTCCTCAGGTGCTCTTTGTCATGAAGGTATCTTATTTCTCCATCAATTTTGCAAGACAGTTTTGCAAGTACATCAGTCTGGCTTGGAGGCTGTTTCCTTTAGGGCTTGAAATATGTAACTTCAAGCTCTTCTTGCCTTGAGGATTTGCATTGAGAAGTTTGCTGTGATTCTGATGGGCTTCCTTTGTATGTGATTTGTTTCTTTTTCTCTAACTGCTTGCAGAATTTTGTTCTTCTGTTGGATTTCTGGAATCTTAACTATTATATGCCTATGTGTAGATTTTTTTTTTTGATCAAGGCTAGTTGGAGTCCTATATGCCTCACTTATCTATGAGTCAAATCCTTTTCCACTGCTTGGGAAGTTTTCTGACATTTCTGCAAACAGTTTTTTTGTGTCATCTGCACTGTCTCCTTTCTTCATCGACTCTGATCAGTCTTATGTTATTCTTCTTTGCATCGTCTGGCAGTTGCTGGATTGATTTCTCATGGTCCCTTACTATTTTAAAGAAGTTTTTCTTTTCCTGATCACTAATTGCAATCTTATCTTCTATATCTTAAATTCTGTCCTCACATTGCTTCATTCTGCTGTGTAAACTTTCAATGGAGTTTTTAATCTCCTGGAAATCTGTTTCCATCTGTTTTATGGATTTCATTTGTTTCCTATGTTGGGATTCCATCATGTTCCTCAGCTCCTCCAGTTTTTCATCTATGTCTTCTCTAGATTTATTAATTATATCTTGCACTATGGGTACAATCTGTGCTATTATCTGAGAAATTATTTCTGATTTCATTTTTTCCAGATCCTCTTTTGTTGCCAGTTCAGGGTGTCCAGGTGGTTGAGTATCAGATTGTTTCGAATCATTTTCCTTTGGGGTTGCTTTAGGTGACTGGGAAGTCTCGTTTTGAGATATGTTTACATGTCTTCTCATTTCAAGGAGGTGGGAGAGTGCTGCTGACACCCATGAGGCTCACCTCCTTGGCACTGGGGGCAGTGGTACTGCAGCCCAGAAGGCTCCCTCCCCTTTTTTTTGAGACAGGGTCTCACTATGTAGTTCAGGCTGGCTTGGAACTCACTCTGTAGCCCAGGTTGGTTTCAAACTCAAGGTGATCCTCCTACCTGAGCCTGCCAAGTGCTGGGATGACAGGCATGTACCTTCATGCCTGGCTATACCTCTCCCCTTTTATACTTCTTGGATTCCTTCAGCTGGGACCCTTCTGCTCACTTGGATAAGTTAATTCACTGGTACTTGATGGTGGAATGTTAGGCACTGTAGCAGGGTTAGGAAGGCAGGAAAGATGTTTGAAAACCTATAATGTCACCTATATGTCCCGTTTCTCACTCAGGGTTCTCCTGGCCACAGAGCTAGCTACCTTTGGAGGACAAAAGTTGAATCCTTGGGTATATGATCACTCTCTTTTCTGCATTCATTTATAAGTAACAAAACAGATGTTTCCAATCCTTAAGTAAATCTTTGTTATCCCTTTAGTTACAAAGACTCATAATTTTAGAGTCTTAAGTCATATTTGCTGAGGATGGAGGCTCTGCACTTAAGATATGATAAACATGCTTCCCAACTTGTCTGTCTATAGCAGAATCATGGAATCCATAGATCTCTCACTATAAATAAGCTTAGTGAAGAATTCAGACAAGAAAGGAAGAAAGAAAGAAAGAAAAGAAAGAAAGAATTATAAAAGATGCCACGATGCTAACTTTCCTGATAAATTCAAGTTACAGTTTTCCCTGTTTATTTCTTTGCTTTCATGAGACTGCAGCATATAAATTTTAATGGAAAAATATCAATGCTGGCCAGTGAATTTGAAGATAAAAGTCAGAGCCAGTTCCAGCGGCGCATGCCTGTAATTCCAGCTACTTGTGAGACTGAGACAGGAGGGTGGTGATTTTTAGGCCAGCTCAGGCAAATTAGAGAAAACTGGTCTCAGAACAAAATACTGAAGAAGGGGCTGAGGTTATAACTCAGAGCTCCTTGGGTTCAATCTCAAGTACAAAAAAAGTTGGAGAGGGCTATTATTTTTGCAATAATACAAATAAGAGCATTTTTTAAAACTGCTACTTAAGAGTGCTGTCAGTAGTTACGAAGCCCCTGGATTTGTTGAAGTTTATCATGTGTATGGCATTTTAGGTCTTTATTCTTTCTTATCAGGAACGTTCTCATTCCATTCCCTGAAGAATTCTAAAACTGTTCTAAGAAACTTTTGCATCATCCTAAACTTCCATCTGCTCAGCCTGATTGCCTTAGGAAAAAAGTCCCAGTCTTTTATATCATTTTGCATAGCAACATCCCAAACACGGCAAACATGATGATGCATGGAAAATACAAAGAGTCTGGGAGAAATACAGCTATGGAGGGACTGGGCATGTGTTCCCAGAAACCACTTGAGGACTGTGGAGCTGCTCTCCCATGACAGCTGTGAGGGGCCCAGCCCACTCATGGTTCTCATTTCCTAAAGCTCTTCCTTAGCAATTCTTACAAACAAAGTTTTATTTTATTCTGAAATCAGGTGAAAAAGGGAAAAATATCAATGTTTATTGAAAGGGGAAAATCCTTTCAAGATGATGTGTACTCCCTTAAGGATGGGCTGCATATTTTAGAAATATAGTAAGTATGCACTGTTCTAAAACAGTTACCAGGGGAACAAAACTTTTCTCCCATTAAATGGAAGGATAATCACTGCAGTAAATTTCCAAAGAAATGTCTAAGCGGCACATATTAAACATCAGTTGGGAGTCAAATCCAATTGATTGCATATTTAAATACTCTTTAAAGTAGGCAGGTGTTGGATAAGAGGAGGCAAGAGAGAGTGTTTTCCTTCATGAAGTTTACACAGCCAACAATCAAACTATAAGTTTACTAAACAAGCTGTCAAAGAGGGCACTTTGATGCCCACTGCTCTTTCATTCAGCCCCAACTCCCCAGGACAGCAATCATGCCAGCTCTCAGCTGAAAACCCTGCTAAGTAGTATCAGAGGATTCTCACAGCCTGGTTCACAAGGATTTGTTCTGAAGGAGGGAGCATATGTAGCATACCACAGCAGAAGTGGAAACCATGGTGCTGTGAGCAAGATGAAGCATTAAATAGGGCCACAATTATGTAAGGCTTCCACAGTGAGCTGGCTTTGAGCCAGGATTCAAACATCTAGGAGCAGCAGGATGCTTTGTTAGAAGAGCAACTTCTATATTCTATCTCCTTTGAGATGCACATTTTTTGTATTTGAATATCTCAAATCAGTTACCTTAGAGCTGATGTTATTTCACAGTCACTACCAATCAGGTGACAACTATGATGTAAGGGACCTTAGACGAACACAAGCAGACATGGCTATTGTTACGTTAACTGAAGTTTGTTCATTTTCAGCTTCCATTTTGCAGTGAAAAGCTCTTAGGTACACAGAAAGCTGTGGAAATAGAGCAGAGTGGCAAAGTTTGGTATTAGCTGAAGGAAGTAGGGGGAACAACGAATGATCAAAACGCACAAGAGTCAGCAGTTTGGAGTGAAATCTCAGAGACAATGTTGAAGTACTTTTGTATGACAAGTTGTATTGCCAGTACTCCTGATAGCACAGCAAATGTTAAAATGTGGGAAATAGGGAAACAAACTTGTGAGTAAAAAAGTGATAAAAATGAGTTCACTGTTAAAGATGTTTTAAGATTACTTTAACCTTAATCTTTTTATATCATGTAAAAATATGTGAAAAAAAATTATCCTAAGTCAAAAGGAGCTCTTTCAACGAACCTAAAGTAAGAATACTAAAAGATAAGAAAACATCCTAACAGAGTTTTAGAGGTTTTTTTTTTTTTCCTTACTGGTAAGAAAGTGGTAAGTTTTACTCTGACGACATTTTACATTCAGTGATGTATAGGTATGCAAAAAAGATGAATAGACAAAGTGTGATCTCTGAGAACATATAATGGAAAAGAAGAAATTCAATATATAGGATATAGTGGAGCAGAAATAAAACTCTATAAGATCCCCCAAATTATTAGGTAGTAAATACAACTTTATAAGTAGTTTTTAGTTAAACAGTTGAATAATCTGCCTAGAACACTTGCATTTTAATATGATTTTAAAAATCTCTAATAATTTAACAGTAATTTAAAAATCTATTTTAAGAAAATTAGCCTTAATGCACATGTTGAGGATTGTAATAAAATGTCTGAAAACTCACTATATAATTTGATTCTATGAACATGAAAAAATACCTTAATTCTTAAAAAGAAAGGAAAATTCCATACGATGAATCCATGCCAGATAATAAAGTATGCTCATACTTCATGACATAATACTAGGAACATAAGACTAAATGATGGTAGAATAACACATCTTTTGCAAAGGGGATCATTTTGATTAAACTAGTGTACTTGGCTTATCTTCTTATTTTTTGAGAACTTTTCCTTCTTTAACTTTTAAAAAAGTATAATGGTCAATTGTCATTAAGTTGTTTGGCTAATGCTGAAATGAGTAGATATTTGAAGGCTTAGAATCTTGGCATATTTTTCATTTTATTTTTTATATTATAAAGTATATTGAGGGGACCCAGTCTCCTAGGATTTAGTACAGCATTTCAATTCCTTAAAGGGTGTGCCAAAGCAATTCTTTAAAAAAAAGTTTGGGTGCGTTACAAAAGAAAACTGCAGTTGAATGGTACTGTAAAGTGGTGATCCAAACTCTAAGAGAGTGTTAGAATTTGAGCTCCATCTCACCGATCTCACTGTTTATACCATCTACAAACATGAAGCCCTGTGTTATCCAGGGCTGAACGTCACCTTGCCATGTGGGTGGCAGCTGCCTGTCATCTCCATAATTCTGAAGAAAAGCCAGGGAATTTGTTTCAAAGTATTTGTCCAGATTAAACCACATGTGGCCTCCAGGGTGCACTGGGCCTAAAGCCTAGGCCTGCTGGCCGTGTAGAGCCATCACACTTATCCGGGAAAACATGGACTGTCTTCTCAAAGCCAATAAAGATAAACGAAACTTTATTAGTCCAAAACAGCACAGCTCATGGGTGGGAATTGCACAAGATTAAAGTTTATCCTCTGTGTTGGCCTCAGAAAACCAGGGAACACGAAGAAAGCAGACAGCTGCTAGGTCCCTCTGGCTTGAAAGGAAGGAACTTTGAATTGGACAGTTAACTTTGTCTTGATTAACTAGAATACTTGATAGCAAATTCTGGTTATTATGCCCCTAAGTGATAAAACAGCCACATCATTGAAACAAAATCCTGAGAAAGAGAAAGCCTGATAGCATTTCTCTGTCTTACAAAGATTGAAGTCCTCACAACAGTCATGGTGTAAGCAGACATGTGGGTGATAGGAAAGACTGTTGGGCAGACCAGAAAGCTGCTAACCTTGTTATTCTATGATGAAACATTTAGTAAAATTGTCACTTGTGGTGTCATAGAAGGGAAGCCACATGTCTTCTACCCTTTCCAGGAGAAATGGTTGGAAAAACAGGATAGTGTGGCAAGTTGACTGCTTCTTGTTTCTGTTAGCAAAATAATATGAAAGAGAAGGACTTAAGAGGGATGTGACGAGGGAAGAGTCTATTGTGTATTAGAAGGGTTTTTCTCTGCGTGTGGCCTCAATCTAAAGTTAATAAAGAGTAGCCTCCTAATGCTGGAAAAGACAATAAAGAAAGCAAAACACAAAGCACCAGAAGCAGTTGACTTAATGACTCCCTCCACACACCCCCGTGTACACACACAAGGATGCTTTCAAGGAATTCAAATAAGAAGATTCAACACAATGTGGCCCAGGTAGGGTAGGGTCCCATATCCATGGCCTTTCTGCCATCCAGCAAAACACAGACACGGTGAAAGCGAAAGCTTATGAAACCATTGCTTTTCCTCTTCCCTTCCTTTCTTGCAGGTTTTTTTTTTTTTTTTTTGAGTCAGGATCTTGCTATGTAGCCAGGCTGGCCTTGAACTTGTGACCCTCCTGCCTCAGGCTACTGAGGATTACAGGTGTGTGTGTGTGTGTGTGTGTGTGTGTGTGTGTGTGATCATGTTTGGGTGAAACTAGGTCTGCAAAAAGGATAGTGTATGGCTAATTAAAGAATGAAATAATAAAATATCTTTTTCTAACAGGAACATTTACACTGATACACGATGCCTCTCTTGGTAAGTGTCTTCCCACCCTCATAAATTGTGACAGAAGTGACCAAGTATCTGTCAAAGAGTAATTGTCCTGTACACATGTATGGTTGTTTTTAGATTACAAATATCCACATGCATAGAATATAACCTTGAAATATATACTAGAAGTTGGTCGTAGTGGCTGCCTCTGGAAGAGAGATTCAAAAGCTGTAGGAAAAGCACATGAGGGAGATTTATATTCCCTATTCACCTTTGGGTGAATTATAAATGTTGGAGCATGTGTATACATCACATAATAATCACATAAGCAAAAGTAAAGAATAGTTCCTAGTAAAATTATAACTGACATACATTTTGATTTAGTATTTCTTTCCTGGTAATAATATCCTATAAATATATCCAAATATATGAAATCATACATTTTCAAGTTCATTCAGTGGAGCATTATTTTTTAACAACAAATATTGTAACAATTTAAATGTACAACTTAAGTATCCATCAACAAGACATGGGTGAAGTGTATTATATATACCTATATAATTTGGTACTATACATCTACAAAAAAAGAATAAAGAATATTATATATTGAAAAAAATAAGCTCTACAGTATTACTAACTAAAAAAGACAAATGTCATTGCATGATCTCCTTAGTATTTAAACAAAAGTGGGAATATAGATATATGTTTTATGTAATTATATGCATATGTGTATATGTGCACTTGCTTTTTAAAAGTTTTTCTGAAAAGGTACATGAAAATGATAACATTGATTGTCTCAGAAAAGGGGAACTTGGTGCCAGAGGTTGAGGGGAAGGATGGAAGGATGGACACTTTTTCTTTCTTTCTTTTTTTTTTTTTTTTTTTTTTTTGGTTTTGGGGATGGAACTCTGCTGGATACATTTTATTCCCAGAGTTCCACAGATGTTTTCACATTAGCAATGTCATTTAAATAAGTGCATGTTCTTGTTTCAAAGACCACACTAATTTAATGCACTTGTAACAAAAATACCTATCACCTATCCAGTATCATCTCCTGTTCAGGTAGCATCCTTTAGAATAAGAGTCTGCATCTAAAGACCATATCTGCATGTGCAATTAAAAAAATTGATATGCATAAGACCTTTTATGGCAAAACACTGAAACCACCTCTTTCAGTTTGCAGGTGTAGTTGGCATTCACTTACTCTGCTGTTAATTTTCCTTCTTTTTCATCAGCTGCATTGTGTGTGAAGAGGAAAAATGCTGTCACTTCTGATTTCACTCAACAATTCTGTATTATGAAGACACAGCTCTGCTGTTGCTGGCCTTGATGTCCTGAGAACAGAGGCTACAGTGTGATCACAGAATGTTCTTCTCTAAATGGAACCATGCTTTCTAGATAAAAGGCCGTAGCCCATTTCTTTTCTTACTTTTCTCCACTCACCTTTCTCTGCATCCTTCTTTTCTTTCCCATTCTGTCTTTTTGTTAGCATTAGTTTCTTAGAGAGAGTGGGTATTTAAAATCTGTAGAGTGAGGAACACTTTGTGGTTGAAAACCTCTAATGACTGTTATTAAGGAAGCTTTCATCTTAAAAGACATAAAAATTAGTGACAATTTTTCTTTGCTTAACATTTTTTCTAGTGTATCAAATGATGGCTTTGGGTTGCTAAGTGTTGGTGCAAATCACTGGGTCTGGATCCAAGGAGAGCTTTCTGGCATTCTGATCCATTTGGGGGTCAAACTTTTGTTTTCAACTTAAATTGAAAATAGCCATATTGTTTAGTTTTATAGCTATGGTCAGTTAGAACTCAAAGGAGGGTGGACAAAATCTGGTGTAGTTTCTTTGTTTTGCAGATGAAGAAATTCGGGTTGAAGGACACTAAGCGATTTCCCAAGAACCATGTATCTTGCTATCAGCCAAACCTGCTGATTTTTTAAAACCATAGTATATCTCAGCAGAAAGAAACCCTCCAGAAAATGTACCTTATTCTTTTTGTCCCTAATCCACTTGTGTTTCTTACTTACAGTATCCAATGTTGATGAATAAATCACTTTCCATTGTTTACTAGGAATTTGGGAATGGGAGAAGTTACATTGTCCTCTCAAGAGTTAATTATGATATTAACTAGCATTTGCCTCTTTCTCTGCTGAAGAATGTCCTTGAGCTATTGAAACATTTCCTTCAGTTTGGTCTTCAAACTGTATCAATATGAACTGTATTAATCAGCACATTGAGTCATATGCTAATGTTGTGGCATTGGTTAATGGCATTACTCTATCTAGAAAAGGATTTCAACAAAAGGCTTAGGGCTGCAAA